CTTTGATAGTTGGGCCAGAGAGGCGTTAACGCTCGCTCAAACGTTTCGGGGATTAATTCAACAGCTGATCACATTGTGATGCATTCGCTTCAATCTGCGAACAAAAAAATCTCGCATTCGAACAGCGAATTATTTCTATGCTCTACCTACGTGCGCAAAAGTGACTTGCAGGAAATGAAGTTTCCGAGTTTCTGAGCTTCAAAGAAAAAACACTACTACAATGAATTTGAAGAATAGCGCAGCTATTATATAAACACTTTACTACTGCAGTCGTGGCACAATCTTTCCACTTCAGTAGATTCCGTTTGATAATTTCTATGCTGCGAGTATTTGATGATGAAAACAAATCATCAGGTAATGATGACCTACTTCCTGGTATGACAACAAATAAGCCACCGGCATAAAACGATGCAAAAATCCATGCTTGCTCTTTTGCGGTCCACACCAATTTCCCATTCTGTAAAACAAGAGAAACTTAGAGAAACGTCTTTTCAATGTTTGCCTCTGCCGTACGTTTCGTTTGCGAACAAATGGAAATTAAATGAAACCGACAAAGTGTGATAAATGCGCACTTTTTGACATTACATCGCAATAAATCAACTCTAAATGGATGAACTTTTACGTGTTGATTTTTGAGTTATTTTGAAGTTAAGAAGTATTCATAAGAGCATCAGTAAATATGACGGGCGATGAGAGACGTGAACCAATTGTTTGGCTGCGAATTTCATTCATCACACGAAATGAATGAAGCACCGTTCTCAAATAAGTTTTTGAACAACGCCTCGATGCTTTATGATGTGCGATAAAAAGCTCAACTACTCACATAACTCTTCCGACCACGAGACGGTAATTTTTTGCACGTAGGTGGCAAATTGATCGTTGATTCATTGTTGGTTTCATGTTCGTCAGCACTTGAGTTGGTCGAAATTATAGATGGTCGAATCTGAGAGGTGCCTGTAATGAACAAATGTTACTACCTGATGCATTCTATGGTAATCAATGAAGAGAATTTCAACACGAAACGTCGAAGAAACGTTCCGATAGAAACGAATGCATCTCAATTGATGCGTCTAAGATGATTTGTCGTAACAGCAGCGTTANAAAATATTTGGTGATTTTGATGTTCGTTTACGATTGGCACTGAAACTTGTCCAATTTCAATGATACGTTTCTCGAATGATTTGTCAGTTCGCATCAGCGTTTCAGTCAAGTACAGAAAATAAAATGAAAAACACACAGCTAAACTGTGAATGAATGGAGTGAATTCATCGGTTGTTTTCACATTCCAACGTAAATACGAATTGTAAACAGTGACAAAGTGCTGATAAAACCTTGCGAACATAACAAATTTGTGTGTTTAGCTGTATGGACGTATGAAAAATGACATAGATCAATGATTTGAATGAGCAACACTTCACTTTTCTTGTGCCGTTACTTCAAAATAACAAGGATAACAACAACAAACTTCCTTTACCAGTTTTCGATTGTAATTCGACGACGGCCGTCCTATTCACCATACATACCATGGCCATATTCAAATTGCTCCTCATTAGACCCTCAATGCAAAGTGCAGCCGCCAGAAGAATGGCAATCCAAATGCGTACATTATGAAGAGTCCAAAGGTCGGTGGAATGATGGCGTTGTTTCTCCATTATTCAATGTATTTTCTGTTTGTGCTCTCCAGCGAAACTTACTGCAAGAGTCTCACATAAATATGTGAGCCATAGATATTGTGTTGATTGCTCATAATCGTTATATGACAAATTGACAACTGAGAACATCAACCAACGTCAAATACTNTGCCGTTCTGCATATCAAATTCTTAATATAGTTTTAAGGCTATAATTAGTATTTACAATTGCTCATTCGATTTCCCGTTATGCAGAATTTGAGGCATAACGGGAAATCGAATCAGTTCGGAATTATAATTACTCATTATCAACGCGAAGGCATTTTTACGGCTATAATTGTGATTAGATGTATAGTCACGTTTCACGGATTCTCTGGATGACGGCATGCCTCTGCAACCTTCACTGTGATTTTTCGAACGAACATGCTCAACCTTTGGAACTTCGCTCAAAATCATGTTTGAATTAGTGTGCGAGACATTTATTGCGCTAGTTGGATGATGTTTCTCTTCAGGAAGTATTTCATCGAAATTTTGAATGAATTAGGCATGATCAAGGAGTCTTGATCATGAATTAGGCATGATCAAGGAGCCTTGATCATGAATTAGGCATGATCAAGGAGTCTTGATCATGAATTAGGCATGATCAAGGAGTCTTGATCATGAATTAGACATTCTGTATACAAAAGATTTGGAATGAATTAAGGCGATTGTTGGTTTCACTCAACGGTTATTTAGTGCCTCCGAAACACTATTTCACTTATTTTTCTCATCGATTACGATTGAGAAAGCCTTACTCGCCGCTCGAAAAAATTTCTTACACACTGATGATGGAGGCGTTGATCGATGTCCTTATTAATTATTTCCTTATATATTTTTTCCTATATTTCCTTCTATTTCCTTACTAATTAATTAACAGTCGAATTCCTTATTAATTATTTCCTTTTTTTCTTACATTTCCTTATCAATTAATTAATAGTCGGATTCCTTATTAAATGGCAGCTTATAAATTATTTCAATTGGCTGATTGTAAATTATTAAACGAACGATTACTTAGAACGATAATTTTTTCAAAGCCAAATGCCACGAACAATCGTTTCAAACGATATTTGTTAAGTGGGGAGTTTGAATTTATCGACATACGCGATTAGAGGAGTGCCCAGAGCGATGTTGGAGTGCAAACGGTTGCCAGGGAGAGAATGAAGAGGAATGGTGCGAAACAATTTGTAACCGCTGAATTTATTGATGAATATCATCGTATCCGCTCTAATTGTTAGTGTAGCAAATAGGCGGCTGCCGACAGCCGAATAACACTGTTGATTGTGCAAAAACCACGGATAACCTTTCAGTGGACTTAAATACATCAATTTTGTTGCAGTGGATGTGTTGTGTGATGAGGCATCAGCAACATCACAAAGGTCAAACTGAGCACTCATAGTTCCAACTTTTTTCGGCAAAAAAGCAACGAAATCAAAATGAGAGCTGAAAGGTGAACGATCTCCGTGGAATATTTTCGAATAATCTCACGGCGTCTATTCGCTTTGCAACCACTTGGCTTGCTTGCATGTATTACGAAT